CCCCCCCCGTCCCACCGCAGACACCCTCTGCTTTGTGTCGCCCTTTCACTATGTGTTCGCCTCGCGCTCGCTCCTGGTGCTGGGCCTGGTCCCCGGGTCTCCGCTGTCCTCCCTCAGCCAGGACGACGCCTGCCCCACGCTCCAGGTGTACGAGGACACCACCAGCCACATCTTCCGCGTGCGGACCAACTACAATCAGGCCCTGCAATTCGGGTGTCTCGCCCCGCCGGAGGCCTACTCCGAGGCATGCCCCACGCGGGCGGCCCTGGCACGTCCAGCCGGGCCTGGCGTCCCGGACGCCGACCCGGCCGACCCGGCCGACCCGGCCACCGGGGCCATGGCTGCGCGTTACCCCCTGCGCGCGGTCATGGGCGGCGTCGACATCAGCCCCGGGCCGTATGATGTCCGCGTGGCTTACCTGAACAATTGCGGCCAGCTGTTCATCCGGAACCTGACGACCCCAGTGCGCATCATCGCCCCGGGTCTGCTCCTCCTGCGTTTGCCCTCGCCCCTTGCTCCTGGCCCTTTGCCCCTCCCGGCATCTGTCCACTGACTGCGCCGCCCTCTCTCTGCCTCTCGCCGGGCCGGCACATCGTGCCGACGCAGGGGTTCTCCCCGCGCCGTCTGTCGCACGCGCGCATCGCCGACTTCCAATGGCACCCGGTGCACCCCCACCTGCTGGTGGTCCTCTACACCACGCCCAACCTCATGCTCTGCGTGTATGACACCAGCCTGCCGGATGTGGCGCCCCCGGGCAAGGCCCCGGCCGCGGCCCCCATCTCATATGTCATCGCCCCGGGGGACCACTCCGATGTGAGCTTCGTCGGCTTCCGCCTGGACATCCGCCACCGCCTGCTGTTGGCCACCTCGGATGGGGTCCTCTACATCCTGAACGGCCTCAGCATCAGCCGGTCCGGCAAGTTCGACCCGGAGGCCGTGGTCAAGCAGAAGATCCGCGTCGGCGGGGGTGGCGGTACCGCCGCCAGCTCCGACAACATTGTGGACTTTGCCATCGGCCCGGCCGCCCCGGGGCGCGCGTCCTCCGGCCCGGGGCTCGTCTTTGTGGCCACCTCCACGGAGATCGTGGTGCTGGATTGCGCCCTGCAGCAGGTGCCTGCCCCCTTCGGCACATGTGTCCCCCCTCCCCTCTTTATGTCCCCCTCCCTCCCCCTCTGACCCTCCTGCTTTCTTCTGCCATCACGGACACACCGGGACATGGGCGCGAAAACGGAAACGGCCACGGATGCGGCCATATCCCC